GGGGAGGGGAGGGGAGGGGAGGGGGGAAGCTCTTCTCGTTTGTCATGACACCCACTGTGTCCGGATGATCCAAGTCGGCCACGACGCTACTCCATGAGATGAGCCTCAGGTCGAGTGGCCCAGGACTCGGCAGCATCGGCCGTCTCCAGGCTCTCCGGCTGCGCTAGACGCCGTGCCAAGATTTGGTCGAGCACGCCTGCCCGGTACTGCCGGCACGGCTGCATTGGCTACAGGAGGTATAGTAGGACCACAGAGTACATCACACGACCTCCCTGCCGCATTGTTGCACATCGTAACGCAAGTGCAACCACCCTTCCAGCCTCGCAGCTTCTCGGCGATCCCTTCGGCTTCGGCACGGAGATGGCAGTTTGCAGCCAATAGGCGCCCTAGCATCCAAGCTTCGGTGGAGGGCGAGATCTTCTTGGAACTGACCTGCCAAACGTCCCGCATGTTACTAAGCCTACGTGCTTCCTCTTCGAGCCTCCTCGTTCAAAGAAGCCTCCATGTCGCTCATCAGCTCCTGGGCCTTCTCGGTCTGCCCAGATTGACTTGCCACCAGCATCGGCACGGAGAAGCTGTGCGCACGGCTGCCTCACTGAAACCCATATGCGGACGCAGAACTAGCAAGAAAGCACGGTGAGGGCTCAGTTGCAAAGCCGTACCTATAGCCAAGTCACCAATCTCACTTTCGTACGCTTCGGTTTCGCAGGCCACGGCCCACTCTTGTATTTGCTGCGCAAAGGCCTCCACAGCTTCAAAGCTCACGTGAATCAAGGAAGCGCAGAGCTGTCGAGTAGCAAACCAGCGTGAATTCCCCTATCGTTTTTCTACCGTTTGGCTACGCCACTAGGCGTTTTCCAGCGAATGGCGAAGCTTTGCTACGGGGCCCTTCACTCGAGGCCGTGCACTAGCCATTGCTTGTGAAGTACAGGTCATACTGTCGCACGACTACCACACACTCCACCGAATTTGTGTGCGTTTACCCGGCAGCCATCATTGCGTCGATTGCCGCTGCATGACATATTCTCCATATGCCAACCCACTGCACAGCTGTTTCTGCTGGCTGATGTCAACACTGCCCGAACACTTCAAGGAGCCGCCTGCGTGTATTGCGATGAAGTTAATCTCCCGGTTCCATCTCTAGCCGAGAAGCTCAAAAAGTATTCCAGGGCGCAAAGCTGCAGGTCCTATTTGATTTTACCGTTGCGGAGGACTCTCGGATTGCCACCATGGCTTATCTTCCCATTCTTTTGCTGTGCCTCCCTCCAGTCAAAACTCCTTTTCCAATACCGTTGCTTCCAGTGGAATTTACCGACCTGTTCCGAGAGTCATGAAGCGACTTAGGGTGGAGCAGCAGCCCGTCACACTCCGAGGGGCGAGGCAAGCCGAAGCATCGTGCCTTCCGAAACTGACGGCCTTTTGGAGAATCAAGAATGCGTGCACAGAGCACTGGGAAGGAGTGTCACCAGAGAAGACGGGGACGACGGCAGGACCCAGTCCAACAAAGCACCAATTTTATGCGGAACAAAAGCGACTTGCCGGACTGGCCTGGCTCGAATACATCAGCTTGCCATTTAAATGTCAAACACATGTTGAAACTTTCAAAGGCATGCTTCAGCTCTTGCCCCATCTTGGCATGAAGGAAACAAGCAGAAGGAGCTTGATCTGAGGCAGCAGCACTTGGCATCACCGGCAGAACTTGAGGCTGCTTTGCCGGCCCAGCTGCGCTCGCAGCATCCTGCTCACTAGGCATCAAGACTTGCGGCTTGCCTCCGGCTAGAGGTTCAACTCACAAGGCGGATGACATTCATGAAGTTACCAACTGGATCAAAGTGGATCTATATTTCTGGCGTCAGGAACCAAGCAGGAGCCTAGTATCAGCAGAGGTCCTTGAAGCATCGCTGAATCTCCTGGCTGACAAGAGCAGCGTTCCAAATACGGCTTCATGTGGCACCCAAGCTAAATTCGCCAAGCAGCATCGTTCTGGTCCAAGAGAATCGTCGCAATAGCCGTGCCCGACTTGTTCCTTGCATAGAAAAGAGCCGAACCCAGTCCCATGAAGTCGCAAGAATGCAACCTGCCAAAACAGCCGGGACACTCGCTGCGCGCCACATTCACGACATTCACGACGACACCACCGTCCGCGCTGGGCACCACTCCAGCCGGTGCAACACGAGAGCTTTGGTTTCCCATGGTCAAGGAGCCAAGGAGACACCACAAGCGACGAGTCGAACACAGCCTAAATTGGTATATGCTACCAGTGCCTATTTGAGTCTCCAGGCCCTGACTTCGAAGTCTTGTGTAGCTGGCCGAGTCTAAGAATCGGCAGAAGGCCGTGAAGACGTCCGCTCTTCGGACGTCAACTCCGGCCTGCCTTCAGAAAAGTTGCTGCAAGAACCAAATCAGCACAAGACGTTGAACCTGCAGCAGTACGCTAACTAGCGACTCACGATTCACAAGCATGCACTCGGATCTCAGTCTCTCAGTTGCGCTGGCACAAGAACTGGCCATGGTCTCATCGCTTTTTGATACGTCCTGGAGCGATAGTCATAGTTCAATAGTCTAGTCCTCCAGACAATCCGATCAGTAACAGGGTGCACAGGAGCCTCAAGCCCGAGCAGAAGCTCTTCCATTGAAGCTCAACCGGTGCAAACAGGACACTTTGGTCTGCAGTGTAGCAAAACTTGCTGTACGTTTGAAGCTCGACTTGCCAAGCGCTGCTTTGCAGCCTTCAGCACTCGTTTTCTTCGCTATCGTCTTCCTCAGAGGCTTCCAAATCGTGCCTGGTACGAGCATGCTTCCAGGAATGTAACCATTCCTTGGATGGCCAAACAACTGTGGCCCATGATCTGCATCACTACCTGCATGCAGCGCAAGAGCTGACATAGGAGAATAATGCAGCATTGACTCGTGCATGCAGACCGCAAGGGCGACAAGCGGCGACACCGGCATGAAACACCATCGCACTTGCAGTCCAAAAGTTGCAACCAGCCGCTCTCCTAGCACCGCACCGCCAATCATCCCACAGATCCTGAGGCTTCTCGGAAAGTAGACTTGAAGCGACGCGCCGTTTAGGAAGTCACCCTGTCAACCCGACTCAAGTGTGTCCAAACACATGACTCCACTGAGCATGACATCCTCTCGCACGGTGTCGGCTGTCTCCTTGCGAAAGAGCTCGCAAAGCCTTGAAAGATTGAACAGGTGTTTCGCCACACCAGTCGTTGGAAGACTCAAGTGCTGCAGCGCAAAAGCCTCGGATAGCTCCAGAACTGGAGAAATCAAGCTCTTCACGATGTGAGAAATCAAATGAACACCCCACCTCCGCTACGCCAAAGACGGGCATAAGCCCAAGAATCCACCAGCGAGAAGAAGCACCATTGTAGGCGCTGATATTGTACCCGACATCGACAGCAGTGGATATCCTGAGCTGCCTGCCCCCCCTTCCGACAAGGCTAAGCAAAAGCTGCCCGAAGCTCGGCCCTTCGGTGTTGCTCTGCATGAGCCTACTTCGAGGCATCACTGCATACCATGCACACAGCCGAGGTAAATGCGACCGACACTTATGAGCCGCAACTCCGGGCACTGCAGGTGAGCTTCACTGCTATCGCAACCGCCGTCCACGAGCCACCTCTCTGAGGGCACATCCTTGCAACTTCAGTATACGCCGATGAGCCCAAAGCCCAGGAGGCCATAATCGAGATATAGAAGAAGACGTCCCAGGAGCCCTTGGCAAGCTCCCGGCCCGCAAAGACCACGTTGCCCGTCATGCTCGCTGCAAAGCTTCCATAGCGCATATAGGTGATGACATCAGCATAGCCCGCTAAGAAAGACAGAGCGAGAGTCGAGAGTGTGTGCAAGACGCCGTGCCAGCATCTCCATTGCACAAAAGCCATGGGCCATGCGCCTAGAGCAACATGCCCGCATGAACGGCTACAGTAACTCGTCATGGCTCACGCAAGTCAGCGATCTGATAGCTCACCATCAATCTCGTGTTGAGTCGTCGTTCGTTTATTGTCGGGCCGATGTGGATTCGTGGCGGTGAGAACAGTCCCGAGAACCTTCATGAAGCCAACGTCTACAAATCAAAAGGATTTCGATGAATTTCGCACGTCATGGCAGTCCAACCTTTTCGGAGACGCAAGCGCTTTTCTTGAACGCCAACCTTCTGACATCCATAGAGGATGCAGGTAAGTCATGGCAATGAGCGAAGCCTCTCGCCTATCAGGATGGCAATCGTCGAACAAGCCGGCAAAACGAGTCAACCGCATTCGCGGTGGACTTGGGCTTGCTCACTACCAAGGAATCGACGGCATGCTGCGCAAACACTTCTTCCGGGACAGTGCATACTTTCTGCATCCGCGAAATCTTCACAGCCATATTCCTGGCCGCTGCATGCGGCAATTTGTGATGGATTGAGGCGAGGTGGCACGGCAAGTTCATGCAGTGCCACTGCTATACCTATCTAGATCTCGAAATCCACTCCACCCGCCCTGCACTCACAGTCCTTCTTGTCCTTAGACAAGCGCGGAGACAGCAAGACAAGTTGCTCATGCGCAGACATTTCGCCCTACCTTCTTGTGGCCAAGAGAGAACTGTGAGCGTGAACTCCTTGACAAATGAAGCAGCGGCTCTGTGAAAGCACATGCCCCCCGCACCCCCACACACGCACACACACAGTCTCTCTATCTATCTGTCTATCTAGCTATGTATCCATGTCCCCGTCTTTCCATCTCGCTCTCTAATTCTTCGTGTTCTTCTTCTTCCTGTGCTTCTTCTTCTTCTTCTGCAGCTGTGCCACTAACTGGCAACCTCCACACCTCTACCGTCGACCTGGGCTGGGCTCGATAACCCTGTACCTCCAGCTGCTGGCACACAACGGCAACGTATGGCCAAATCACAAAGAACTTCAAAGCTCAATACTTTCCAGGGTGAGTCTCCGCTTTCGTGGTGCAACAGGTCCACTCCGTTGCACTCGTGTGCCGACCCTGGACGCCGCCGCCAAGAGGCTAGCGAGATCCTCCGAATGCCACCCACGTGTACAAACCCAAGAAGCACCTACAAAAACTAGAAAAACTTTTGCCTGTTTTACGGGGAGAACTACTGGAGGAAGCGAGCATGGCCATGTGCTACCTCAACAAGTGGACGGAGGAACACTGGGGGGACAATGTACAGTTGATGGACAGCGGGGATTAACACAGCGATCCCCCGCAACATCTTTTGCCACCGGGAGCAGCAATGATCTCGACAGGGGGTCACTCGGGTCTGTGCTGAGTCTACACAAGATGAGGCCCCCGTTCTGCAACTCTGTAACCACCTTTGCGACTAATGTATCCCCGGGCCTCATCTCATCTGCAGAGGCTGCTACCGGAATTGTCATGCAAACTCGCACTCTCCCTCTTTCTTTCGGCAGGGCTATGGGAACTCCCTCTCTCTCTCTCTCTCTCTCTCTCTCTCTCTACCTCTGCAGCGACCGCCTAGGACAGACGATACACGGATATACAAGGAGTAAACGCGCCCGGCGTGTCGGCGTGAAAGATGGGTTTAAAAGTCAAAAACTGTGCACCCAACCTGGTCAAGTCCAGTTTCTGCCCCATCTTTGATGACATTATCATCACAACGCCCAACGTCTCATGTCCCCCCCTCCTCAAGGTCACGGATCTTCTGTAGCATTGTTGGCGTGTCCCTGAGCAGTGAGATTCGAAGGTCCGGGCTGGAAACGTCTACAATCATGCATGAAGCGCGTAAAACTCAAGGTGTGCGCTGAGCATGTCGCAGATCTTGGCCATTCACGTCCATGATCCGGTCGCCTTCCTTGATATTCAACGAGTTGGCCTCCGAGGCACCAGTACGGCAAGGGGACGTGCCGTGTCATGTCTTGCACCTTCACAACACCTTCTGCGATGCTCTTCACGCAAAGTCCACCTGAAAAGCATCATTCGGAGCGACCAACAGCAAAAAGAACAAAGTCTGCCGGACCTAGTGGGTTCTCCGACGCATAGTGCAGATTCAGCCCCAAAGTACCGGCACCCTTCTTGATGCTCACTTTGGAAACCTTGTTGAGCCCACGAACACACACTGCGCACAGCAACAGTTTGAATCTAAGCTCTAAACCACGGGATGCTGGAACTTCAGCCTGGGCAGATCGATTGCACTCAAACCAGACCCTGAAGAAGCCGAGATCCTCGGAAGCCCAGCTTTTTAAGGGACCTGCAGCGCATGGGCCCTGTCCTTATGCAGAGCCGCCGCCAGCTTTTGCGCCACCACTTCACTCGCGGCTGCTCCCGTTCCGTTTACCTGAGCCCACAATACGCAGAATAGGGGGGGAGACGTTCCCGAGGATCCAAGCCTGGAGCAGTCTGTCACGCGGGCACACCATTTCGTTCGGTGTACCTGGGTGCCGCGCAGATGCGAGCTCGCAGTGAACGTATGAAGGCCAATGTAAGTCTACGGCATTTCGAATTCCAAGCATCTATGAGCGAGCCCTTCGAAACGTGTGCGACGATGCAGGCCTTTGTTTGTAAAGTTGCAGCAACACGAGCTCCCACTGCGAGACTGCGGCAAGAGCAGCAGCATGAATCAAGACAAGATACACCTGCATCCAAGAAGTCCTCAGCATTGCACAGGTCTGCGCATTTCCAGTTTGGACCAACAGCTAAAGGAAGCGACTGCGCAACAAGTGCTCTTACCCTGGCACTCCAAGGTTAAACTTGAAGTTTCAACAACGGTTGTTGCCAATACCACTGCTCTCGGAATGAATATCAGGAGTCGCAAGTAGGGAAAAAGCCACACTAACCACGCGAAGAAGAAAGCGATTACGAATAACTAATAACTGTCATAAGACTGGAGATGGTGATGACTACACAGTTCGGCGCTTTCTGAATTCTGGTGAAAAGGCCAGAGGCGATACAGAACTCAAGAACTCGCGAAGCAGAAAGACTCGCAGGGAGGTCTGGCAGCACATCCGTCTGAAGTGCCGCTGGGATGCAAAAGTCAAGCCCAACGGTGTGCCGTCGGGTGCAGAATCGACTCCCACGACGAAGCTGGCTCCTTCAACTGGGCCTGCACGACTACGCGCCGATTATGGTGCGAACATCTCAGCCACGCGGGCCTGGGAGCTCTGCTCGGGGCAAACGCACCTGCACATGGCACTAGACCCTCGCTCTGCAACAAGAGCACACCTCAAATGCCTGAGTCACGCCTGCGCCATCAGGAGCAAAAGTTGCGACAATGCAGATCATTCCGGGCTGTCGACTGAACATGGTATGGCCTTGTCTGTTTGGCGTACGCGACCGATATCATCATCCACGACACTCTGCGTCTCGATGAGAGTGGCTGGTTCTCGGATAGTGTGGGCGCAACTTATCTCCCGGCACTCGCTGCCACATTGATGCGCAAGGAGTGCCGAGTCCGGCGCTGTGGGCATCCTGCCGACTTGAGTGTCACAGAGAGCTTTTAATGCTTTTCATGTCTATGCACTCAGAAACATGCGACGTCCTCGCCAGGCATGCAACACAGGCAGATCGCCATGGCAAGGGCTGCGATGCCGTAGTGGCAAGATGAATGTGACTTCGAGGCGTGCAGCTGTAACGGTGCCCGTTTCGGGTACCCGGTCGGCCCTGCTTTTGCAAGACGAACCCCCTCCTGCTACACAGGCTGGCCAGTGCATGTTGTCAGCTTGATCCTTGTGTCATGACTTTGGGCGCTTTCTGTCCGTTCTAGTCTCTACCTTTGAGAGAGCACTGCAAGGTGGAGGCAGGTTGCAAACACGTCCACATCGCAGACAGGCAGCAATTGCTGCCGTGGCTATGCTTTTGCTGAGAAGCTCCAGAGCTTCACGGGGGACTATCGAAACGATGATGCTGCACAGGACGGTCTCGGTCTCGCCTGATGATAGACTGCCTCAGATCCGAATGACCCGAGATACTGTGTGCCCTGAGGCTTAGAACATATGAAAGCCCAGGGTCGCTAGCGAGGTCTCTGCACTGCATGTGCCCTTTGCCAAGAAGACATCGGTAGACATGCCTGCGACCATCGCCTGCAACAAGAAGGCGTCCTCAGTCCAGTTGCAGAGGTATCCTGATGCATACTGCAAGTAACTGCTCATTTGCCCCCGTTCCCGAACCCCTCCTGATCCGAGCAATACTTCATTGTCACAGAACTCACACCGCTTGGCAAGCATGCTTGGCGCAAGTTTATCGCTTGAGCTTCCTGGGAAAACTGGATCTCGCATTCCGTCTCGGAAACGCCTGTGCCACGCAGCTGCATCTTGCCTTCCTTCACGGTGGCGTTGAAGGCTAAGACTTTGATGTGCACATTCTCTCCCAGTGCTTTCCATGAGAAGCACGAGGCCACTTCTCGAGCAAGATTGCTCTCTCCACTGCATGTCCCATCCCAAATGATGGCGTTGACGCTGCACGATGCTAGCACCAGGCAGCTCCCAAGCCAGAGGCCATTGAACAAGCCCATGGCTAGCGGAAAAAGAAACTAGCTGTTGCCTTGCAGGTCCCTGCAGGGACCTGCTGGAAAACTAGCTGTCACTAGATGCTATTTTGATACGGCAGGTGTAGTCAGTCGAGGTCATTGCCATCCAACGGCGGAGGGGGCTCGAACGCCCTACATGCCGATCGTCCTGAGCCGTAGGAACTCGTTCGAGCGGAAGCACAAAAAGATCCAAAATTGCTTTACCTCTCTGGCCGAAAAAGCCATGTGGGAAACGAGGTCACAGCCTTTTTGCCAAGTATTCTTCCAATACCAACTAGGTCATGGCGTCATCTGCCTTGATGCACCGTGCATGACCGGAATCGGGAATTGCAGAACTCCCGGCCTCTGGCTGCGCACTCGCAAGGAGCTCCTTACAGGCTTCTGGGAGTTTCCGAAAATAGGGGGTGCCTTATATTGGGGTCCTTATAATAAGGATCCTACTAATTAGGGTACTATATCAGGGCCCCCTATTTGCGGAACTCCCTTCTGCTCTCCAAGGACGAGATGAAAGAGCTCCCTGCCCTGCGGCTCCTGGAGCTGGGCCTGTGCCTGTTCCGGGCTCTCCTCGAAGACCTTTGCCAGATCCTCACAGCGTCACGGCGAGAGATCTCTGAGATGTCGGAGGCACCCCTGCACCTGAAGGGTCTGGCTCAGACTGCACAAGAGCTTCTTCCGCTCCATGCGCAATTTCACCTCGCAAAGGGTGAACTGGGAAGACCGACCGAGGATGAACCTGGGCTGCCGGCCAGCAGCAACACGCCATCCTTTGTACACCGAATTCCCCGACTCAACTCGTGACAGCGCCTCCACCCCTTCTAAAAACGCCACAATTTGAAGCCGTGAAGAAGCTGTGCTGTGCAGGTAAGCGGCCGCCAATGTGCTCGAAGGAGAGTCAAGGATTGCCTGGTCCTGCCGAGCCACATCCTCTTCGACTCGGCGAATCCAAGTCTCCACTGAGCGGAAGCACATGACGTCTCAGGAAAGAGAAAACAGAAAACTCCTCCTTCAGAGTGGTGGGATATTCCGCTTCCAGGCACTGACACGCAACGGCCACGGCCCTGAGAACCGTCGCCTCAGTGAGGGCTCGGAAGGCTCCAGAAACCCTCGCAACTCGCAGCTCCGATGTTGAAGGGCTGATTCATTAACACCGCTGCTTCCATCACAAGCACGGGCAATGTCCAGCAATTCGGAAGAGTGGAAAGCAAAGGGTGGGAAAGGTGGAAAAATCAAGGCAGCAGACGAACTCTCAGAGAGTCTGGGCGACATGAGGCAGTCGTGGACAGGCGTGCTTTGCCCTAACGGAAAGACCTGCCATTCGGTCCAGCTTCTTTGCTAGACATGTGACATAAAACAAGATTCCAGCAGCAAGCGCATCGTAGGAAGCTAAAGCAAGTGCGAGAAGCAGAGAGCAAAGTGGCAAGGGGAAGAAGCAGGAAGCACAAAGCCAAAAGATAGGATGCACGAAACAGAAGCAAAGGAAACAAAATGCAAGCAGGAGGAGAGCTCAAAGAAGGCCCCCTCAAGCTTGCTTTTCCTTACCTACTCCACGCACCGATTGAACGGCACTCTGAGGTCCGTGCCTCAGAGGCTTCAGGAAGCAGCGCGAAGAGGGCCTGCGAGTTGATCCCCGCACAGATGATCGTCTAGGGTTTCCAGGGTTTAGGGATTATAGGGAGTAGGGTTCCGGGTTCAGGATTTAAGGGGCCTGATGCTTCTGCTTAGGCCTGCAGAAGCCCCAGCGGAGGCGACCGGGCTCGGAGCGGCAGGCTATTGGCGGCAACTCCGCTGCGCACCACCTCCTCCATCCTGGCGGCCTGGAAAGGAAACTGCCACCCTCAATTAGGGTGTTTTGGGGTTTAGGGATTTTAGGGATTTTAGGGTTTAGGAGTGCGATTCCTGGAGCAACCCTTCAACCCCTCAGCCCTCGCAGGATCAGAAGCCCTTCACAATACCCCGAGCCCAAAACAAGAAGCCTTAACCTGTCAAGGAGTTGCTGACATGGCTGGTGGACCTGCTTCTGCTATGGGCCGTGCGCACAAACGATGTGGGTGCTTTGGCGCCTTCTCTGAAGCTCCGCATAGGCGGGTTTTTCAATGTGGCATACATAAAGTTTGCTCTGAACCGTGACAATTGTCTTGCCATATCTTTAGGTAAGGTCGCGGAGCTACCACCGCTAGCCAGTACGGTACAGGCATATCTTCCCCATGCGCCCGCCCCATGCAAAAGTCCTATCCTTAGGCTGAGCAAAGCACTATGTGGTATATAGGGTCGCTTGGCTTCGCTTCCAAGGAGCTCCTTCTGTGTCTTGGTGCGAAGTATTTGAAAAACTGTTTCCAGATTTCTTGGGCTCCTGGACCTGGCCAAATCCTGTGTTACAGTTGCGGGTACCGGGTACACGTGTTGACAATGAGCAATCACTGGCGCCAGCAAGGAAAAGATGTTAATATGCAAGATCCGCAGATGCAGAGGAAGAAAAAGCCTCCACGATGGACATCCACGGATTGAGGGTGTCGGAATGTGTTCTGGCAGACCAGGATGAATTCGTCGATGGGCCGCCGCCCAGTGGCAACGTCAGGACTGTCGTTTGGAAAGTCCACTTCGTTTAAAGTCAAGTCCGTCGCTGGCTGGCTGGCTGGCTGGCTGGCCAAATTGCATGTTTTCACAGTTTGACCATGGGGCCACATTGCATAGGCCTTCATTTCACGACCTGTGCAAAACTGTGTGCCTCAACCTCCACCAGGGTAAACACGGTTGCCATGCTGAGATCTGGAAACCGTTCCCAATGTCCAAACCGACATTTGACACAACAATCCAAACATAGGCACCTCATGCGGCGTGTGCATTTGTCCTAACGCCTTTGCTTATCTCCATCGTTCTAGTACTCTGCATCGTGTGGTTGGCTGCTTTTCCACGCTTCGGCTGTCGCCTGTGTTTGTGTTTATTTATGAGCTGCGTGGGTGGGGGCTCCGGGCGATGACAAGGCTATGCAAGTTGAGTCACCCGCAGGCGCCTGCCGTCTATAGACCCTGGATGCATGAAAGCCACAAGTAGCAGATGATAGCAGATGGACACCCTGAGTTCGGTGTAGGACACAAATTTTGGAAAATCTATGGGAAAACTGGGGCCCCGGTAAGAGGCCGGGCCCGGCCTCCCAGTCTCCGGCACCGGGAAATCCCGCCAGCGTCAGGCACTGGAGCACCTCGGGAGCTCTCAGGTCCTACAGAGTCCTACCAGTGCTGCTTTGGGGACTGTAGCAAAAAAAGTCACGGCCGCCTTCGTCAAGGACACTTTGACGTGGTCATAAGGGTTCGACTCAGGGACGAAACCTCAATGGAGCTTGCCCTCTGTCTCTCGATATTTGGCCGAGCTCGGGTTTTCAACTCCAGGGGCGGAGGGCAGCGAGCCTTTTTGGAAATGCTGTCGGAGTGGAGAAACACACATGCCCATCTGGAGGCGATCTTGCCGTTCCGAGACCGTCGCCGTAGTACAAGGCAAAGTGTTCATTGGGATGCCTGTAACAGGCACACGAAATCGCTGGGCAGCACATGACTCTAGCAGAACACAGTCACAATCTCGAGCCCCCGGCTCACCGTATGAGTAGGTGACCGGGTCCCCTTCCTGCAAGTCTCGCGTGGCAGAGAGGCACCTCCGCGAGGCTGATGCTAGCAGGCACTGCAGAGACATCCCTTCCTTTGCCGCCAGAAAACACCGCACGGCCACTGCGGCCCAGGTCGAAAACGGCGCTGGGCTCGGAGTCATGGTTTCCCATGTCTGGCAAGTCACTCGACTTTTTGCTGGCTCTGGACTGGACTGAAAGGCCTAGGAGGGGGATGAGAAGGCGCCGGATGCCTCTCCCACGGGTGCGGAATGCAACGAGGGCGCAGCAATTGGAAGTCGCTGCGAGCCTCCGAGTTCTTCCAAGTCCAAGCGGCAGCATCGGCTCCAGACGTGCGCCATTGCCCACCGGAACTCCTCCCGCGAAATGCCGTAGTGCTAGTGTGCTAGTGCAACTCAGCCGTGACAGCCAGCTTCTACCGTCCTCCTCGCTCCAGAAAATCTTGGGATCTGCTGCTCCGGCCTGCTCCCAGGCTGCGAAGGCGTCCTTTCGAGAGCTCAAGCTGGGTGGGGGTCAGTTCTGTTCAAGTATACCAGTTTACTATCGTATATTACAGTGTACCATGTGGTCACCATGGTTCTCTTCTCTTCTACACATCCCCTTTGGCACCACTCCTCGTAGCGTTCCTCCAACCAGAAGAGAGTGCCGCCAGCCTGATCGCACCCGGCTCTGCAGCGGGGGCGGGGAAAGGACGGAAGCCACGCTCGCCTTGACTTCGAAGTCCTCGTCCTGCGGCAAAGCTGTCAAGCCAAAGCAGCACCTCCCATACTGGCCTGGGGCAACAAGCATCTCCAAGAGATGTCCTGAGCTTCTTCCAGATCCTGCGCCACGCATGAATTCACAGAAAGTGAGGAGCCGATAACCAATAGAATCACTTCGCAGAACTTCGCAGCATCCCCCAAGCAAGCGACCGCGGTACCACCGCGTCTACTCCCCGACTTGGTGACGTCTGACTGCTGGAAAAAAGACGGGAGAATTTGCCATAATTGGCTCTCACAGGCAGTCCTCGTCCTCCATGTCTTTGGGAAGGGTTGGTGCAGCAGGCCAGCTGTCTGGGCATGGCTGGGAGTCAAGGACTGTCAATCTTCACCGTTGGTTGTTGATGCACCCATGTGACACAGATTACATGACCAGGTTGGAGGCTTCAGTGCTCCACTCTGGGGCCCTTGGGTGCAGGCCGAGAAACAGTGACCAGTCTGGCTCTTTCCTCCTGGACTTCGGAAGCGAGCAGAAGCTAAAGTAACAAGAAGCAAGATAGCTGTTGCGCCTGCCTGGCGAGCACGCCGAGAGCCAGCTGCACGTTCCAGGGCCTTGTTGAATTTTGCACCCCACCGCTGACATCTGAAAAACGGCTCGACTTGAGGCTGCAGCAACTGTTTGCTCCAGGGCGGCCCCGCAGCCACAGCACCTTCTGAAGGGCCTGGAAGCCGTTGGGGTGACTTCGCTGGCAGCCGCAAATGAGTTGGCCTTCGCAGCCGTCGGCCAGCGTCATCCCGAGAGGAACCTTCTCAGTACCCGGAAAGAACCGTCGGACCAATGGCTGCCATTTTCGGCCGGCCTCAAGAAGAATGTCACCTGCCCGGGCTGGCTTCGTGACCACGAGGCCACGCAAGCCCCGAGCATCTACATCGCCTGGCAGCCCAGGCCAGGCGAATTGCTGTGCACGGAGCACAAAACCATGCCGGAGCTGCGTTTCACTGTCCCGTCGCCACCGGCTTCCCGGATCCAGTTTAGGAGCGTGTCACCGGCCCGGCACGGCGTGCGCGGTCGCCGGTGCCCAACATCTGGCCTGCAAAACTGCTGCTTCTGCACATGCCCACACCTGCCTCATGTTCTGATGCGCCTCACGAAAAGTCCTGTCTGCAGCGATGTGAAGAGCACAGTAGCAATCGCCACTTGCAGCCATCGCATTCTCCGACTGCCCGGTTTACTTTGACCGTGTTTTTAAGGCTTGATGGAATGACCCGGATTTCCAGTGGATCTGCTGCAGGTGGCGGCTGCCCCGAATGCACCGCATGATAACCCAGGTCTGGCCCTTTTTTGATGGAGGCAAGCGGACACGGAGCTTTCAGCTCGCTGTACAGAGATATTCCCTTTGTCAATGCTAAGCTGTAAAGCCAGAGATGGCTCGAGGGGACCTCCAGTTCGGGAGGTCCCAATTTCAGTCGAAGAGAGGGTTCCTGAATTTCACTCATCATACCAATAGTCGAAGAACTCGTGATGCATGGCCTCGGTGTGACAAACAGGAAATTCATTTGAGGATGTAGGGTTTCCGGTACTCTCCGTGGTGCGCGAATCTTTTCTTGAGAAACGCCCGATGTCACCAGCACCTCACTGCTTTGCCAGGGATGCTTGTTGGAGCCTGGATCCTCCCGAAGCCTAGTTCGGCCAGCCCATGTTGTCCACAGCTCTGTCACCTACTTTCTGGAATTTCGCTCCTAAATGGACTGGCACACCAGCTTCCTGCAAGGTCGCAAAGCTGGAGAGCTCCGCCCCTCCACGAAGCTGTACAGTCTGACGCGGATCAACGCTTTTAAAAAGAAAAATCTCCAACACGCCTGACGGTTTCCACGGGTTCGGAAGCTGCCCCAGCCGCTCCGCAGCTGGGAGTTAGGCGCCGGGTGTGAAGACTGCTGAGAATATCGGAGTTGAATTACAATGAAGAGATAGTAGTCAGTGCCTCGAACGCGACTGCAAGGCGGCTCGCACCAAAAGGGCGGAGCTGACAGGCAACACCTCCGGTTCAGCTCCCAACCCGGCTTAGTTTGGGGTTCTCTCGCAACTCTGGCATGCCAGACGAGGTGGGGTTTTCCCTCATAACTGGGCTTACGCTCTCACAACTCGGACTAGCCAGGCGAGTTCTATCAGGTGCAAGTCGAGGTGGGTTTAGGGTTCAGGGATCACATCGCTGGGGGAATCTCGAAGTCATTCCTACGGACAGCTTTGCTATTGGGCCCCGTCCTGCACACAAAGCAGAAGAAATCGCCAGCAGAGCCGCCAGGGAGGCAAGCACGACTTTTGCAACTGCCGCCTGGCAGACATGAACGTTGAATGCAGGTGCATTGCACCTAGCAAGTGCCAGTACACCAGCTCGACCCGGCATGTCTCATGTCTCGCCTCAGGATGATCCGCCAAGCGCGTCGGGAGTGAGCCAGCGTGGTCTTTGACAGGCGAAAAGGGTCATCCTCAGACCAGTCGCCCCAGCCCCTGCAGGGATGGGAGCAACGCAGGAAATCTGCAGAAAACTCCCCAGGAATAGCGCAGCTATCTCCAGTATGAGGGGCACAGCTTCAGGCACCTGGCAGCCGCCGTGCTGCGAGGTCCCCGTCGCTTCTTCTTGCCTGGGGCGTTGCAAAGGCACCTCGCAACTGTGAGGATCATCACGGATGGTGCCTTGACGCTTCCGCTTGCCAGACCATCGGCCAGCCAGCGAACCTGGCAGCACAACGAAGACGTCGAGACTACTGCAAACATTCAAGACCCGTCGGAGTGACCAATGGCAGCAGCACGTAAAGGGGCAGCATCTGGGGAAGTCAGGAAGCTGCGACAGGCCTGCTCCAGTCGACAGTCTCGCTCGCTGCACCTTAATGAATCAGTTGGAACCCTGGTGCCTCAAAGATGTCGATGTCAAAAAGGACACGGCGCAAAGCTGCCCCTTCAGCCTTGCTTGAAGCAGACGTGACAAGGCTGCGGCTTTGGGCCAGCTACTCATATCGATACCATCAATACTCGTCTACATACCGCCAATAACATAAACTGCCAGTACTACTAGCCATGTCAACATCAGCATTACGATTATTCACATTTATGGTATTTTTTTGAGGAGGGGCTGCAGTGCACATGGCTTAATGAAGGCCTCACGGTGAAGCTTCATTCACACGTATGGTATACTTCCGATAATTGTTGTGTTGTTTTGGGTGCTGAGTGCCCTGGCCGTTCGTAGCAGTCTCCGCTGTACTGCCGCTTCCGCCCCCAAGTCCGCGAAGTCGAGCAAGCCCTAGGATGCAAAATGCAATATAGAATAGTGCCATGTCGTATAATATTGTACAATACTGTGTATAACATCGCACAAAGTAGTGAAAGATAGTGAGAATGTCATATAATTTGCTGCCACGTATGCACACTGCCACCAGACTCCACTGCAACACTCGGAACCACTCGCGAGATTCGGGCCGAGGCCACGGTTACGGGGTTGCATTAGGTGTGCGTTGTTGTTGTTTTGTTTTTGTTTCCTAGTTTTTTTGAGGGTTTAAGGTTTAGGGGTTTAGGGTTTAGGGTTTAGGGAAGTTTGCAACGGCTGATCTGGGACTACTCCAGGTTGGACTCCCAAACTACATGAGAGGTCATCAAAAACGAGGCCTAAGCAACATGTAAACCCCGCAACCGGCCCAAAACCTGGAACGGCGAAGCTAGAGCTAGAGTCGGAGGCCGAGGTGGCCTGGAATACGACAAGAAGTACAGAAACTGTTAGGAGTGTGTTAGCTCTTTAGGCCTCGACGACCGGTTTGAAGGCTTGGAAATAGAAAAAACCGATTCGGCCTGTATCCATGCCAAACTACCAGGGTTGTACAAGCTGTGAGTCACAAGCCTCTGGTACGGATGTCTGCACACATGGATGCCTGCACGAGGCCCGAAGCCACTGAAAACGGACAGGCCCGGTTCTTAAGCAGGCCTTACAGGTCCTGACGTAAGGCGTGAATGCGCTTGTACGCTGCATTCAAGCTTCGTGAAACCTGACGTGCGTTGCGGGACATTATACCGCTTACCAGCATTATGAAGCCAACAGGCCACTGCTTCCAACTGCTTCCACCAGACTGCTCACAAGAATGGGGTGTCACCCCTTGCACACCGAGAAAGCCTAAGGCCTAAGGGACTTGGCAGACGCTCTTCTCAAGTTCATTAGTTAGCTTGGCCTCCTAGGGGGTGATGGTATTTCGCCTTCCCGACCCACCCTTACTCCTGGCTGTATGAGGCTTATGTGGCATGATTATTGAAGCCCCGTCCGACATGGTGGTGCGCCATGTCCGCCTAACATGTGGTGTCTCTGCTGCTGGTCCACTGTGCTGCTGTGCTCTTCCTGCGGTTCACCTGGTTCAGTTCTCAAGTATCGGCGCGCCATTTCCATCAAACCCTGCTTGTAGGTTCTGAGAAAAAAGCCCAAAAGAAGACACTTCGTGGCGAGGCTCGTCTTCGGCATCGGCTTCTGTCTGGGACCCTGCAGTGAGAAGTGTACTCAGACTTGACCAGTTCGGGATAGTGGCGCCTCCTTGTGAGGCCTGGGCTCCATCCAGCAGAGTGGCGCGCAAAGCCCTGCAACCCTTCCTGGTGCGAGGTGAAAGAAGGCGACTGATGGCAAAGGGCAGCGATTTCTGGTACACGTTGTAAGACTCCACCAAGGCAGGATCATCTCCTAGAAGGCCCTCCAGTGTGATGAAAGTCCGGCATAGAAGGGCGATAAACGGCGGAGTTAGCATCAGATAGCGATCCGAAAGCTTCTTCAAGGCCACTGCCATGGCTCCAAAGCGAGACTGACCGCCTGCCTCCATCTCGATTTGCTCTCCGACGGCCACAGCAAACTCTTCGTTACCGCACGGCTCGTATTGCGGAGTCTTCGATTTTCCATAGGCCATGTTCTTCATGAGCGGCTTCGGAGTGAAGCGCACATCCTGAAACGTTGTCGTCAGGTCCAGCCAGTTTTTGTCTAGAACCTGACGAACTCCGGCAGCGCAGCTCTCCATGATTCCGAAGTCCACACGGTCCATGAGACCGAAATCCAGAAAGACCACACGACCATCATCGCCCATCCTGAGATTGCCCTCGTGCGGATCTGCGTGAACGAAGCCAGTAACTAGCAGCTGTACAACACAAGCCTCGACGGCCATTTCCACCAACAGTCGCCGCTCTTGTAAGGGCAGCTCCTTGGGCGAGCGGCTAGGGTACCAGTTTAGTGCAAGCACGCGCGAGCTTTCGCGAGGGCCCATGAGCTGCGGTATGCACCCGGGCGAAGTCACAAATGGGAGAAAGGCGTGTCGCTGCGCAAACTCTTCGGCATTTGCCGCCTCGTTGTAGTAATCCAGCTCCATTCGAACTCCACGTGCCACTGTATCCACAACAGCGCCATAGTCGTTCGGTGAAGAAACCAGTTTTTGATATGCTCGACTCACCAGTGTCGCAACCGCCCAGTCGAGTCCCAGGACTTCACGCACACCTGGCCTCTGAATCTTCAGCGCAACCTCACGCCCATCATGCATCCTGCCTCGATAGACTTGCCCCAAGGATGCAGAAGCAACGTACCGCGGGTTCAGCTCCATGAGAAGTGGTTCCCCATCGGGGTCGGTGCAATTCTTGGCACAGACCCCCGGAGCTAAGGGCCCCTTCTGCTGCAAATCTTCGGCCAGGATTGTGAGTGCCAACTCATCGCTGAAGGGCGTGCTCTGCTCCTGGAGCCCTTTCAGCTCCTCGGCCACGTCGTCGCCGACGATGTCGGGTCGCTGCGCCGCCGTCTGGCCTGCGAGGCGCAACTTTTCGCAAAACGCGAGCTTTTAACGGCGTAAAGGGAAGCGTGTAGTCACAAGACGACTGCTGCGGTACGACGGACAAAAGGGGCCTATCTTCACGAAGAAGACGCCCATGCGCTGCAAGCCCTGGCGCAGGGCCTCGCCACTCGCGGTCTTCGGACCCTTACGGGAGAGGGACGTCGTGAGCAGAGTCTCACTGGCTGCTTCGCTCTTGCGATCCCTCCATGCCCACCAGATCCCAAAGGCAATGGACAGAGTGGAGGCCAAGCGCTGCAGGATCTCCCAGGGTCGCGCCCAGACATATTCCAAGAGCCTCTCCTGGTCGAAGGCCGCATCATCCCCGGCAGCTCCGAAGGCTTTCGCCTTCCAGTCCTCGCTTCTTTGAGAGCCCGGGGCGGCCTTGGCCCCATCTTCATCGAGCTCATAGTTGACCTTTGAATACTGCGGCACGGCATGGCGCCGGAGCTTGCCACCTCGGGCAAACCGAAGCCATGTCTCTTCCGGATGCACAAAATTTTATGACACGAGGCCCCTGCCGCCTGCAGCTTCACGGTCCAGCAGCCCCGATGCAAATGCACAGGATCTGTGCAGCACGTGCACTAGGCAACAGTCATCGGTCAAAAGATGTTAAATGACTCTCAACTAGGCCTTGTTGGAGAGCAGAGTGAGACAGCTACTATCAGCGCAGCTGCAATCAGCACAGCTCGCCAGGGTCGGGAACGCATGGCATGGCGCATCCCACACCTCCAACCCTTCCGCTTTGGTTTCCAGTCGGTAAGTGCAGGTTGTGTCTTTGGAAATGACAGGAGATGACATTCCTAACGTGTGCGATGCATCACTAAGGTCTTCTCGGTCGTTGTCTGCTCGCCCTCTGCTGCCACACTGTGTACATCCATCCCGACTCGCCATCTGTAAAGAGAGAGATGCGCACTTGTGTTACATGAGCAGAGGACGTCTCCGATTTCCCGACAAGCCAAGGACTTGGCCTCCTTGGCGCTGCATCGCCTCCCCGGCTGGAGCTGGCACATCTCACGTACCAGAGCACCGAGCCTCGGGTGCTCTTGGCAAGCATGGCTTAGAGAAGTTTAGGGTTTAGGCGCTACTTTAGGGGGTTTAGGGTCAATGACGACTTCAGCATTTTTCTGAGCTCGCCGGCCTCTGATCGGAGTCTTTCTGTTGCAGGAGTTCTTCCTGACCACACGATGCACCTCACCTCTGAAAGCTGCGGGCTGTGGGGGATTTGCAGCACTTTTTTCGAGGCTGCTGCAATCGGCACGTGACCTTAGAGCCAGAATCCACGTCACCAACCACATGCTGCTCACAGCATTACCATCTAGTCGAATCTAGTCCACTCTTGGAGCTCGCAGATCCCTTTTCAATTCCGCGAGCACCATCCTGGACCTCATCGGGACCTGCCATAAAATTGCATGGCATGCTCGCATCACACATCAGGGCCCTAATGCTCAAGTGGGCGTGGCACAGGAGACAACAAGCAGATAAGATTATCCCGCTGGTATCGGCGATGGCCTTCTTCTCTGAGCCATGGATCTTGCAGCAATTCAGCCGCCAAAGGTCGCTGAACAGGATCCTGCCAAAGTAGATCACCCGAGCACGAGCACAGTGGAAACTCTACCGCGCTGAAAAGACATTTCAAGATCTTCTCAAAGAGCAGCTGTTCACACGGCTGTTTCAGTGGTTCCGGCGCAGTTCTGGTACGACTGCTACGTCCTTCGCAAGTGCGCAAATCAGGAATGCAGTGCAGCTGGCCGATAAAGCTTCGCCTCACAGAAGACCAGCCATTATTGAACTTGCTTCACTCTTGCCACGTTGGCACTTGACTTGCTTCAGGATCGGGGTAAACGGAGCCCTCCAACAAAAAGGCAAGGTCCCACGAACCACGGATTCAAAACGTAGCTCCTGGAGCTGCACTTTGTTTTCGACCGCTCTGATGCAGGCACGCGCTTTGAGGAGCCGAGCTTGCGGCTCGCAGCTAGGTGTAGACTTTGGGTGCCGAGGCCTTCTCCCACTTACTCAATCAAGCAGGTGACAAGCAGGTGAAAAAGGAATGGCTTTAGAACAATCGCTTCTTATAGGGGAAGGACACGGTCGATTAGACGAAGCACCCGTGCCTACAGCTGCTGACATCTGAGACGTCTGGAAGTACAACCTTCCGAGCCACAGCAGACCAGACTTGCCGATTTTATGCTTTGCCCAGGATGTATGCAAGTTTTCCCCGTGCGGTTGTCGGTGTCGGACCCATCTCCACAGCAGAAGCGTGCTTGGGCACTTGAATGTCAGTGGAAAGTACTTCCTTGTCACGGAGGGAAGCTTGGTCCACGGAGTCCGCGGTCTCATGTAGCTCTCGCTCGAGCTTCTTCTCGCCGGGGACACCATTTCCCAATGGCTTCTCTTGGGGTCTGCGCCGTGGCTGAAAGCCTTGGGGCGGATGAAGTGTTATCTTCGACTGGTCTTTGTAGCTGCGACCTTGTGACGCGAAGCCGAGGGGTTGGAACTGCTCGCGCTGGTACTCCTCGAAGCGTGCCGAAGCATCACCGTCTTTCAATTCCAGCAAGTGTCTGGTTTCGGGCCTTGGCCTCCCATCCTTGTCGAAGTTCACGAAATTGATGGCCAGCTGCCGCTTGCCCCGATCTGTCCACATCTCCCAAGCCCCAACTTGGTTGCTGCTGTGCCAGAGCACGCCCCTGGGCCGAAACTCGATCCATCTTCTGTCTCGGTCCCACTCCTTCCATCGCCATCGCTGCCTCTCCCCGGGCACGAAACATTCCTCAAGCTCTTTCTGCAGAGTCTCAACCTCATGGAGTGGCATAGGTATGCAGCCAGGATCCTGCAAAGCAGAGTCCAAAAGCATATGCTCCCAGCAAAACCTGCAACGCCACCGACCATCCAGTGGATCCAAAGTCCCCTTGAAGTCATAAGCCTTGCAGTTCTCACAGCGCTCCCTGTCGACAGAAGCTAACATCCTCGAGACCTCGGAGCGGTCCTTCGTGCCCAAGAGCTCGAGCAACCGCTCTGTCTCGGGAGCCGAGGTGCACGAAGAACCTCTTCGCAGAAGCTGGTCCAAGTCCCTCCAGACTTTCGCAGCGACGTGCTGCAATCTCGAGCACAACTCGGAAGGCAGCTCCAACATGTCACGCTGGAAGAAGGTGCGATAGAAGCATTTCAAGTAGACCAGCACTTCGTCTCCTTCCACCTGCTTCTGTCCAGCTATAGTCCGGGGAGGATAGGCTGCGTTTTGGGATCTGTGTCCCGTGTCAATCGCAACTTTGCGCATGGCCTGGTGGCTGCAAGGGAGCAGCATCAATGGCAACCCTGCCTGCTGAGGAAAAGCGCTGGACTTCTCCGCAACGAAAGCCGGGCAGCTTGCATCAAAGACATCGTCGAGGTCAGCCGTGGCAACTATCCCCAGTGCAAGCACCAGCACCTTGTCAAACTTCAGGCTCAGAGCCCGCAATCGAAGAAGTCTGTCGGAGGAGCTGTTCAGCAGAGGATAGTTCAGGATGCTGGGCCATGAGCCAAGGGATCCAGCTGTCAGTTGCCACACCTGCCGCAACACCTCAAGAAAAGGCCGCGGTACTGATGGCCCGTGTATGAGCATTCTCTCTGGCCTAGCTGGGCCTTGGCTGTGCTTTGCGAGACTCAAGCCAAGCATCCATGCCTGCAGAAAGCTGGTGGTCTTACCATCGGCCAAGACCGCTACGTACGCGCACCGTGGCCTTTCAGGGTCCACTGAAGCTTCCGGCTCCGAAAGCATCAGATCCATCTTTAGCGGCCTTCGGCAGTGCGTGCACGTCAGCCTTGCAGTTGCCTTCTGGTGGTCCAAGACAACCTCAGACGTCCGTGTTGGGAGAGGGTTCTGGTCCTGATCCGTAAAGTTCAGTCGAACATTGTAGGCATCAGGCTCACGTTGCTGGTCTCGGCAGGCCTCTTTAGATTGATGAGACTGGGAAGCAGTCGTTGATGCCGATTGATAAGCCGACAGCACTCGGCTGTGGAGCTGCGCGACGGCACTTTCTAGCGCATCGGCGCCCAAAGGACGAGCTGCTGCACTGCGCAAGGCCCCGTGGATACTGTCGGCAGAGAGTGCTTCTCGCAGGGCTGCTTCCAGCGCCGCATCCTTCATGCCAACGACCATCCCAACGGCCGTGACATGGTTAGATATTGATGTGGATCTGTGCTGCTGAGCGAAAATTGCTGTCTGGTACTATGTAATGCTAAGGTTCAGACTGCAAGAAAAGTTCGTGCTAAAGAGCATGCCGAAATAATGTTGTGCCCCAACTCAGACATGAAGGCAGGGGTGTGTCATGGCAACATGGCTAGCGGCTAGCAATGCTCTGATTCAACGAGGGACTGAGCTCGAAGATACACGGCGGGCACGAAGCTGCAAATTTGATCTCACGGTCACGACACGTCAAGTCCCCCTTAACAGGCAAGTCACACGCAGGAAGCTCGTAGGTGCCCATCGCGATCGTGTCCAACAAAGCGGGCAGATCCTGCCGCTTTAGCAAGAGATGCAAGGCATAGACGGGACACCCAGGCCACGAAGTCCCACAGGCCTTGTGCAGAAAGGGCAGAGACCGAAACAGAAATCCCCACAGAGAGATGCCGGTTGCCCAAATGTCGGCGCGGCGCCCATCGTGACCCTTGTAGCCACTGGCACACATCTCGGGCGAGAAGAAATGATAAGTGCCTTCAGTACCCTGGACCACGTAGTTATCGGGCATCCTCAATGCACGAACGGTCACTAAAGCTGTCACTACTCTCCACATGTGGGACATGTCTCATCCATGAGTTCTTTCGCTTACTTTCTGCTGGTGTTTTTTTTGTGCCAGGTCTCCGAGTCGCCACCCCAAAGTCTCCCAGCTTTAAGCCACCGAGTCCATCGAGCAGCAAATTCTGTGGCTTCACGTCCCGATGAGCGATCCACTTTTGGTGCAAGTAGTCCAAGGCGTGCCTCGAATCGGAAGAGAACGGAGCGAGGCAGAAGCAAAAAGCGAAAGCAATGAACTTTCAGCCCGGCGACAGGGTATTGCGCACAAATGTTTGCGCCACCTGCTCGGTGATCTGTCCGGCCCGCGCCTGGAAGCAACATTCTGACTCATCCCACTCCATAGATGGACCACCGCGCATGTACTCCAGCACCACGTACAGCTTGCCATTGGAGGCCGATTCGTCGAGAATTGCATGCAGTTGAACACATCTGGGATGTGAGACTGTTTTCATCCTTGGAAAGCCAGTGAGGCAAAGGGACAAAGAGAGAGAGGGAGGGAGGGAGGG